AGACGTTTCATGACCCAACTAGATAACATCATCAGTGCTTAGAAGGGGGTTGGAGGAGGAGGAGGAGGAAGAGGTGGAGGAAGAAGGGAAGGAGGAACTGTGGGGTCTTCGGTGCTGTCTGAGCTTGGTGTTTTTCTTGCAGACGTTTCATGACCCAACTAGATAACATCATCAGTGCTTAGAAGGGAGGTTGAGGAGGAGAAGCAGGAGGACTAAGAGGTCCTTGGTGCTCTTTGAGCTTGATGGTTTTCTTGCAGACGTTTCATAACCCGACTAGGTTGCATCATCAGTGCTAGAAGGGAGTGGGGTTTGTGGAATGGAAGGAGGAGGAGGAAGGGGGGAGGACGACTGTGGGATCCTTGGTGCTCTATAAACTTGGTTGTCTTCTTACGGACGTTTCACTGAATCACATCATCCGTGATACAAGTGTGGGGTTTGCTTCCTGTTAGGCGAGGGGTGTGTGATTTTCTTCTTCGTAGTTCCTTGTTCTGGTGCAAATCCCTGCTTCTCTGTGTATAAAAAGCGAGCAAAGTGCACGCTCACCAACACTGATGATGTTACCTCATTGGGTAATGAGAATTGTGGGGTCCTGACTGCTCTCTGAGCTTGGTTATGTCCTTGCAGACGTTTCATGACCCAACTAGGTAACACCATCGGGGCTAGAAGGGAAGGGGGGTTTGCTCTCTGTTTAGACCCTTGTGGCTTTCCTGTCAGCGGGAGTCGTTTTGGTTGGTTCCACTCTCTTTTCAGGGGTGTCTTTTAGGGTGATATTCTCATCTCCCTACTTCCCCAGTCTACCTTCCCCTTAGCCACTTCTGGATGGCCGCTCTTTTGATCCAGGAAGCCTGATGTGGCCTGCCTTGCCTCCGGGTCGGGATGGGAAGGGGACATTTGGGCGGAGGCGTTGAGATGCGGTCCAGATGCGCTGGGCGGTTTTGACATTTCACCAAACGCCTCTTCAGAATCCTGGAGAGGTTTTGGCCCCGGCGAACGAATCCAGGCCTGGCCAGACTCCCGTTTTGCAGGCATCAAGGGAGGAATGCGGCCTGCACAATGCGCCAGTGTTCGGGGGCAAAGAAAGCGCCCCTGTTTTCTTCCCACCCGCGGAGGGGGCTTTGCTGGCATATCGTCGCGGGAGAGGATGGTTGCAGGGATGCCGGAGCAAAGAGGGAAGAGCCCCCTCCCCGAGGGTCCTTCCTCCAAACACAGAAAGCTGTTATTAAATTCCGCGTTTCAAAGACGGGGCCAGGCAGAAACCAGACGCGAGGGGAGACAGACATTTTGCCAAAGGGGCAATTTTGGGTCCCCGACTTCCCCATCTCTTAACCTCCAGATTAATCGAGCTGAAAATCGAGCGATAGGGCAGGGGGCTTCTTTTTTTCCCCCCCCCACCCGCGCTCGGCTAAAAGGTTGTCCGAGGTAGAGAGAGGACGGCTCCCCGTGGAGCCATTTCGCACTGTGGCTTCTCGGCAGGGGTCGTTGAACCATTTTGCCAGGGTGATGGAAGGCAGGAAGGAGGGAGAAGGGGGAGGGTAGAAGGGGGGGGGGG